GGTCTTTGCTTTGTGCTTTTTAAAATGCTTTTCTTACAGTGACAAAGCAAGGACTGCAAAGTTAATGAACAGCAATAGCCCCGAAGAGTAAAAACAACAAATAGGGTGCCTAGCTTGGGGTGGTTTTCACTTCTAAACATGCTTTGCATGAGGCCTGACTGGCCAAGAGCACCCTGCATTTTCGTTTTTAATGAAAGTGTAAGGAAATCAACAAACCCTCCTAACACAGCAGAACTAAGGGGAAAATCCCCAACCCTTTTTGTAAAACGGAAGTTTCAGTAAATGACTGTGCTCGATAATATTAGAATCTGTCCTGCCTCTGGTAGAGAGAACTGTATTGAAGACAGCAGTTTTTCTCATTAGCCTTTCATACCTGCATTTCCTGCGTCCCACGTTGCCTCTTATGCCCACGTCGGGGCTGATGGTCATCAGCAGCCCATTCTAGTGTACCTACCGTTTCGAACTTGTGTTTTCCATTAATTTTGTACTGCTCTTTCTGGAATCTGTTGGGTTGGGGTCTGTTCTGCTCTGCTAAGTACAGATGTGTTTGTCATGTTTCTTCCTTTTTCCTAAGAAAAATTACTCATTACTGTTGGTATTTCATTATGTGGATTTTGTAGGTCTCATACATTTAGGATTGCACCAGGAAATAAACAAGATGGTCCTTAGAAATAAAATAATCAGCAGATGCCAAAAGGAAGGAAGATACTTGATGTTCTTTTGGCTTCTTCTGAAAATACCAGGATGAGCCTGGAGCATCTTGTGGGGCCAGAAAGTAGGAAAAAAGCTAAAACACAAACACACATAAACAGATAATAACAGAGGACAAAGAGTTCCAAAGCTAGAACATGCTGAGCAACAAAATCGAGTATCAAGTTATAATTTAAAGTATAAAGTATCTATAAATCAACATTAATGTACATAAAGAAGGCATGACCCCATCCCACACAGAAGAATCTCAGATAATTTAAATAGCTGTATCTCCTGCAAAGAAATTGAGCATAACTCCCCACTCTTGAAGTGTGGCCCGAACACCAGCATTTCCTCCCAAAGCGTATGGAAGGGTACAGGAGGGAGAGAAGCGGAACGTTCCAGTGGAGAGATCTGACTAGTGCTACCCGAGAATCCAGGTTTATGTCGACAGTGGCAAGTCATGTTGATAGCAAGCGCCCCGGATTTGATGAAGGGGAACTGGCCGTGACCTCCGTGGTTTTCCTCTCTAAAACCCATAACCCAGCCTAGTCATGTGGAAAATACCAGACACACCCAGTTGTGGGACAGTGGCAAAGTCTCTGACCAGTGCTTCCCAAAACTACCAAGGTTGTCAAGAACAAGGAAAGGCTGAAAAACTGCCGAGCCATGGGAAAGTAAGGAGACATGAGGATCGAATATAAGGTACGATCCTAGAGGAAACCTTGGAAGAGAAAAAGAACTAAAGTCAAATGGGAAATCTGAATAATAATAATGCATCAATACATTTATTAATGAGACAAATATAGCATACTAATGTATGATATAAATAATCTAGGAAATGGTATCAGGTATGTAGGAACTATCCCCACAAGGTACTATCCTCATCATTTTCCTATAAGGCTAAAAATACTCTAAAATAAGCAGGGCCTGTTTGAAACAGGGTCTCCCTATATAGTTCAGGCCGGCCTTGAATGCACGAAGCAGCCCAGGCTGGCCTTGAACTCATAGCAACCTTCCTGTCTCAGCCTCCTGAGTGCTGCGACCACAGGTCTGCTCACCATGCCCACCAACAGTTTATTTTTTTTGCAAATTGTCTACATATTTATTTCCTTCTTGACTTGCCCTGACCATTATATTACTCAGATTCCTTTGTGAAATATCCATCAAAAATAACTGGGGAAATAACCTGCTATCCTAGTTTTGCATTACATATAATTTCCCTTTTCTTGTTACCCAGGTCCCAGTGTTTCGCTGTAGGTCTCTCAGAAGGCTCTAAAATGAGAAGATTTCTCCTAATCCATGTGTGTTTATTTCTCACCCTGGATGTATATAAAAGCCTTGGGGCCAATAGCAACACAGCACAAGCAGATGAAGCCACACAGTACCTGTATAGATGCCTGGATAGATGAAAGCTGTAAGGACAGGTTAATGGTAAAGCTTAAAAATACATACAGCTGGGCATGGCGGCACACACCAGTAATCTCAGCACTTGGGAGATTGAGGCAGGAGGATCACTGGGAGTTTGAAGCCAGCCTGGGCTACGTAAGTGAGTTTAAGGCCAGCCTACACCACGTAGTGAGACCATGTGTCAAAAAAAAAAAAAAAGAAGGGCTGGGGATGTGGCTCAGTGGCACAAAGCCTGCCTGGTAAGCTTAAGGCCCTGAGTTCGATTCCCGGTACCAAAAAAGAAAATGGAGAAAACACATGATAGAAAACAAATTTTAAAGTACGTTTACAGGCTCTTGGTTTTGCTCCTTTGGCATTCAGAATACTTAAGTACAAATATTTGCGAAAACACTAGTGTGTATGACCCACTGATTATGCATAGATAGAATACAGGATATGTAACACACACATATGTATACACGTCACAGTTTTTCAAGGGTACTGTATATCCATGCTACTGTAATTAACAAAATGTGCTCACATGGTTCAGAAAAGGACAGTTTGATGGAGAAGACACACACTCTTCGCTCCATTCAAAGTCCCCGTTCTGCCACCTGCTCACTGCACCTTCTGAAACTTACCTTGCATCTCCTGGTTCTGAGCCGCAGCTTTTCTCCCAGCTGAATTCCCACCTGTCCCAGCGTGAATCTTCCCTCTTCACTAGCAGCCCCACCGAGTCCAGCGTCTGCCCCGCAGCCAAGCTTCCCGCTCACCGCTGCCTGGAGTTGCCTCCTTCAGAGACACCTACTGGTCCACCACAACTCAGCCCAGCCTTCCACACTCTTCTGTTCTTAGTTTTTGATGCCTCTCTTAATGATTATTGCCACAGAACTGAAAAGTTCAGTAAGGACATACATGACTTCCCCGCCCTAATGTGGATTTATTTTGAAGTTGTCCAACAGTTGCAGACTGGCCCCTGTGATACGATACAGGTGATCTCAGAACGCTCCTGCTCTGCCTGCTTTCCCCGTACTTGGCGCATAGATCATACAGATAGAAGGGGGAAAGAAGGAGGAGAGCATGTTCTGCTTGGGCTGCTGTAATGAAGTACTACCAACCAAGTGGCTCAAACAGCAGAATGTACTGTTTCCCAGTTCTGAAAGCTTAAAGTCTCAAATCAAAGCACCAGCAGGATTCATTCTTCCTGAGGGCTGTGAGGGAGAAATCTGCACTGTGAAAAACAAAAATGAGAACAACTATTTATGGAGCTTCCTTTGAGCTAGTTCCATGCTAGAGTATAATATTAAAGGAAATGGTTGATTACCACAATATATGTAATGTGGGATGTGCTTTTAAAGCTCAAAAATACAAAAAAAAGTATAAGAATACCTATAGAGATGAGATAAAAATATAAGATAAAACTATGATTGACACAAAATTCAGGAGAGCAGTTACATGGAGTGAGGATAAGGACAGGGAGGGTATGCAACAGAGGGAGGAAACACATACTGGGCTTCAAAGTACTGGTGAAATATCTTACATCTAGATGGATGTATTATGTGAATGTTTACTACTCTTTAAATGATATAAAGTATGTTGTTCCTGGTACATACTGTGATCCTGGGAAGCTGAGATAGATCTGCATGCAAGAGAGTTATCTGAGAGTGTTCTTGGAGTTGACACCTCTGAAAGAGAGAGTTGAAAGAATCATTGTTGGGTAGAGGGTGAAACTGATCTGCTCCATCTTGGAGCGAGGGTGTCCCTTCGGAGTTGTGCTGACTTGGTGGGGGGGGACAAGGGTCTTTATGCTCCTGTGTGGATCCGTTGTCTGTCTGCAGGCCATCCACAAGGTTTCTGACCTTGACACACCAGCTGTCTGCAGCTGGAAGCTATCCACATGCGGGGCTGACAACTACAAGCTAAAGCTGGCAACACTACGAGCACCTGGGACAAAGTCCTCATTCCACCCCAATTCCAGTTTATGTCTGGTATTTTTCACAATTAATAAAAGTGTTTAAGAGAAAAATTGTGCAGGCAGAAAAGCCTAGCTATGAAAACAATTTTTAGGAGCAGTACAAAACAAAGTTAAGACAGGATAAAGTCAGAAACATACCAGAGAAGCACTGGTCAGAAAGAAAACAGCACAGGGGTGGGAGTGTCTGTCCACAGAATGATACACCAGGGTTTTTCTGGTGGAGATGAAACCAGTGAATCAGACATGACCCAGACTAAGACCAACAAACACAGTGGAGTCAGCTTCATGGGGTGAGTTACTTTAACAATTCCCAGGAAATTACTGTTAACTGGGCCACTGCCAGCTAACTTTGTCCCACCCAGCTGTGGAGAGTGTATCTTTAGGAGGACTTTATCCTCAGCCTGGGAGATTGTTTCTTTTGTTATACCATGGCGTGGAGTCCAATAGGGTGGTGAAAGTTATTGAGAATTCTAATCTTAAATATGCTCAAATTATAAAGGGTCTCACTTTGTTATCGCTCCTGTTGTCAACCCTCTCTAGTAGTAACAGTTACTATTTATTAATTCTTGACCCAAGTTCTGTTCTAAGCGCTTACATGTATTATCCCATTCATTCTCTATAGTAGTTAAATGATGCGGGTCCTTTAATTATTTTTCTATTTTATTAATATTAACTATTATAAAGAAAAAAGAGGCATAGGTGAATCAATTTGCTTACTTGACTTTTCCAAGCTAAGCCAACCTTGATGTAAGAAAGAGACTATCTTCTGTCTGAACACTCAAATGTCCCACCGCCAAGATGGGGAACATCAAGTTCAGCGGTGGGTGCCGCTTGACTTACGGGGAGTTGGGGGAGGTCAGTGCTGAAATGAGGACACAGCATCCAGGCACAGAAAGCACAGCCAAGTGGAAGAAACTGTAGGGCAACAGACGGCAGAGGCTCTGAGGACCAGAAATAACCTTTATTTGGCTCGAGCTCCGATACCACGAGCAGCCTCCAAGAGCTCTGCTCTGAGCACTAAAGATAGTTCCGCATCGCAGTTCACTCTCTACAAGGATGAAAATGGGGAGCGACTTGGACTGTGACCTACAGTTGCTGTCCGCAGATGGATTCTGCGAGGTGAATAGTGTCAGTCCACAGGAGAAGGGGCCGCAGATTTCTCAACTTCTTGGAAAAGCAGCAGAAGCAAAGAGAAAAAAGAACTCTCTAAAGTAGAAAGCATCAACATCGGGATGGGAACTTTTAGAGCTATCCTCATCAAAGAGGACTTACGAACCCAATCACGGGGCAGACGAACCCAGGGATGGCAAATCCTTCAGAACTTTCCATGATGCCAACAGTCCTCTGTGGGACACCTGCCGTGGGTTCACCGCCACTGGATTAGACCGATCCTTTCGCTTCATCGTTGAATAAGCAGAGACCATGGAGAAGTTACTGAAGCTCTCTGTGCCTTAGGCTCGCGTCAGAAGGCGCCACCTCATAGCGCAGAGAAGCAGCATGCAGCAGGCGTTTAGAAGCAGGCTTGACCCAGGTTGTTTTAGGTAACTTTGTGCTGTTACTGTGTGTTTCTTTCTGGGGACTGGGATATTGTTTGCCTCCATGGTTCAATTCTGGCCTTGACTCTTTGTTTCTAGGAAATCAGGAATGGTTCTAGGATCAAAATCACGGGGAGTGACAGTGTGAGTCATCCTTCTGTCTGGAAGGCAGTCAGGTATCTAGTTAACCTGCAGATACATCCAACGTGATTTATAAAGGAAGACACACCCACCTCTGATTTCTTGGTGTGGTGGCGGGGCTGTGGATTCACCTGATAGCTCACAAACTGAGTTCTGTAGAGCGCCAGCGTTTGTTCCTCCCGGGAGGACCCAGCCCCCATTCCAACCGCAGCAGCTCCACCTGCATCTGTTTTATGCGTTATGGCCCCTGTAGGAATAAAACACCTGTGGATGGAAATGGGGCGGGACTACTGGCCTTCAACTCAAACAGTAATCAACTTCTTCTGAAGAAGACTCTCAGGCTCCTGTCTTTGTAATTAAGGGTTCTGTTTTCAAATATTACACACTTTCCTTTCATTCACGAACCCAAATGATCATGACTTAGGAAGACAGGGAGGGCGATGAACAAATTAAATGAATTCTTGTGCTGAATGTTAATGTAGTGCCACAAAGGGGACGTGCTTTGCAAATTCAAGGCATAAATAAAGTATTTTATCATTCTCGGGAATTTACACACCACTGTCTCTGAGAAGTACTTTTCTTGAGGCAGATATGTCAATTTGCCCCAACTGACCACACTTGATTTCTCCATTAAGCAAGGTGCTTGGAGCACATATTTTCAGGAGCCCATGAAAATGTTTTAACTTTCCTTTCTGTTAAAATCATAAAAAAATACACACATCAAAAGACTCTCTCTCTCTCTCTCTCTCTCTTTCTCTCTCTCTCTCTCTCTATATATATATATATATATATATTCTATTATTAGAGTATACTATCAGAAAACTGATTATATATTGCAGTACTGGGAATTGAAACAGGGGCATTCTACCACTGAGATACATCCACAACTCTTTTAATTTTGAGAGAGGATCTCAGTAAGTTGCCAAGGCTGGTCTTGAACTTGCAACCTTCGTACCTCAGCTTCCCAAGTAGCTGGGATTATACGCCACCACACCCAACATAAAATACAATTCTTAATATTTGCTCAGGGAGGAATGGGTCCATGAGGCAAGTGTGCCTAGAGCTTTCTAATGTCATAATACAGTGCTCAGGCCTGCAACTCACAGCAGGGAAAGGTCATCAGGTGGACCGGATAGATGGCAGACCCTAAGCCCAGCATGGGCTTTATTCTGTGCCAAATCCCTACAATACGTTGTCAGCTTGATCCTACCAGCAGGCTTCCCTGTCTATCCTGATGAATTCCTAAACTAAGCATGTCAGAGCTTTTCTCCTCAGTCCACGGTGTCAGATCCACGGGACGGCCTCACCTGGGAAGGCGGTGGACGTGCACACTGTCGCGCTCCACTGCAGAGCTGCAGAACGGCCTGTTTCCGTGAGATCTCTGGGGACTTCCACACACCCACGTGTGCACTGCCGGGAGGAAGGAGCCGAGAGCTGCAGAGGAAAGGCAGACCCGGGAGCAAGGTAATGCTTGGGGATAACTTGAGTTTCCTTAAGAGGAAGAGAGAGGAAGAGGAAATATGAAGGCCAGGGGAGCCAGCAAGGACTCAGAGAGAGGGCGAGGGATCTTTTTCTGAAAGCGTTTCCCTCCATAGTGCTTCCCTGTGAGACCTGGGGAAAGATTCTTCTGTTTTCCCACCTGTGTTCCAAGTCTGAACACCTGGCTGTCTGGCCTAATGATGCTGGAGAGACTGACGGGAAAACAGGGTAGAGTCAAAGCTACCAGCATCGCGTTCTCCTCCTTTATCGAAACCCAGGGTGAGGGGGCTGCATCCCACCCAGGCCGTGCACAGAGCTCCAGGGAGTGGCCAGCAGCGAAGCGACCGGGGCACATGGTAGAGCCATACTCACTGCCGACGATCAGGAGACACCGAGGAGCAGCTTCCAATACACCGTCTTCCTCGGGGTATGAGACCAAACACCTCCTTTCTCCCCGCGTCCTGTGTAAAAGGAAAACAGAAGCTGGTACAGTAATACAATTGAGTTTGCAAACAAAAATGTTGGCAGAATTTTGCGTCCATTCGCAAGCTGCACATTGGGTGACAAACCACGGCCATGTTCCCCACATGTTGTTTTCCCCCAAAATCATAAAACAAACTCACTTTGTGAACTGAGGTACCACTGTACTCTTGTTACACTAAGTTTTCTTCCTAAAGAGATGGTTTCATTGCTTTAGAATGTTTGAAATTCCCCTACAGTGAAGAAACTCCTAAATGCCTCACAACTGTAACATTCCCCGTTTCAGCACTGAGCCTCCCTGTCTGGGGGGATTCGGGTGAAGCTATCACAGCTGCCATCTCTCTAGCTTCTACCCAGTTTCAGAAATGTGCACAAGGAAGCTGCAGCTTCCTCAGAAAGCCTGTGTGTATTAGCCGTCTGCTAAGAGAAATTTTTCTTCCTTTACTGTTGTGGTTGGGGCTTATTGCAAGCTGAGCACTATAATACAGGACACAGATTTTACAAGATTATTTTTAATAGTCACTGAAAGAATAACATACAAAGAGAGTGCAGGAAATCTGTCCACACACTAAAGACCAGAGAGTCCAGCTGAGGGCCTGGATCCCACAACAATGTCCTGCATGAGTCCCACTGAATACCCAGAGCTCATAACAATTGCCTCCCATGAATCCAACTGGAGGCCCAGAGCTCATGACAACGTCTCATGCAGACCTGTTTCATGGATCTGCTGGGAAGGCCCAAAGGTCAGTGGTGGAATCTAGAAAGTCTGTGCCAGCAGGATGAAGGATCTGTGCCAGCAGGCTGAGGGATCTGCACTGGAGCCAGGAAGCAATGCTCAAATTAAGAACCAGAGCTCCCCCGAAAAGTACCCCAGCCATCCTCAGCAACAGACAGGTTCTGAGCTCTGCCAATGATCAGAACAGCTGAGTTCCCATCAGGAAAACCAACACAACAATCTTCTCCGGGAGACTGAGTAGTGTACCATCTTTCCCTCCAGAGCCAGGAAGCGATGCTCAGATTGAGGACCAGAGTTCCCCCAAAGTGAACTGAAGCCATCTTCAATGACAAGGTCATGAGCTCCCTTGGAAGCTGAAAACAGCCAAGTTCATCAGGAAAGCCAGCATGACGAGCTCCTCCAAGAAAACCAACAGCTCCTTACAGCTTCTCTCAGCTACTAACAGGCTCCTAACAGCTTCTACCAGCTCCCCACAGCCTACTTCTTCTTCTCCAGTTCTGCCTCTTATGCTGCTGGCAACAGTCCCCAGGTGGGCCTCCCACACCCAGCACCATGCTTACTCAGTTCAGCTGGGGGTTATAAGTTGACCATCAGTTGTCAGTCCACCACACTTACTATGGTTAGCAATGAACAACTCATTTTGTCATTCCTTTGGGGAAGATGGAACCCAGGGACTTTACACAGAGCTACACATCCCCTCTTTTATTTTGAGACAAGTTGTCTCTGAGTCACTAACTTGCTCAGACGGGACTCAAACTTGTGCTTCTCTTGTCTCAGCCTCCCAGAGTTCTGGGAATATAGGGAGACACCACCACACCCAGACTGTCATTCTGTTTTTTAATATTATGTAATTGTTACAACATCTTTGGTACCCTGAACTGGTGTCCAAATAGATCAAATAACTCACCTGGGGTTAGACTCTGTTCTGGATCTGCATGAACAAAACGTTTCCAACCAGTTGCAGGTAGAGAAGTATGGTTAGCTAATAGATGAACTACATGAAATTAGAGGCCCAGGGAGTGCCGGGCATCCTCTACTGATATGCGCAATAGGCAGGAGAAGACAGAAGATAAGCAGAACCCTGGTTTCCACCATGCGTGGAGTGAGACCAAAACGGGGATCACCGTGGTGGGATAGTGGTGGGGCAGAAGGCTGAGATGACAAAGAAGCTCCTAGGGGCAATTCACTTCTAAGCCCTGTGGCGTGGCATATTTCAAAATCTTGTTATGAGATCCTATTTTAAAAAAACACACAGAGAAAAACAAAACGTTTGCATAAAATGAGAAATTGTTACCAAGAAAAAGACCTAAATAAGCCTTCTAGCCCCAGTTTCTCTTTGTTGACCTAAAATCACTAATTTTGGAGGTCTCGAAAGCTACACAATACATCATTAATTTCCTACTACCTTTGCTGTAGATAGCACCTCTGACATGTGGGTTCTGGTAGCGTTGCCTAGTGACTCCCCAGGAACGGGAAAGCTGCTTTTGCTGAGAACACTGACTCTTCACTTGGGTCTTCAGAGATCTCATTGATGACTACAATGGGTTAAGAGGCTTGGTGTTTCTGTCCTCATACTGTGTCTGTCCTCTTTGCTGACTTAACCTTTGAATCAGATTCCACTCAGCTCTGCTCAGTGACGTGTTAATCAGGTAAGAAATGTTTTGTCCAAGAGCATGACAAGGTGGATTTGGCCTGTTGCCTGCTGAGGCTGGTGTGTGTTTCCTTTCCCACACCCTTGTGCTTTTTCAGTAACCCAAGTGCTGAAAGTCCTTGGACCCCATCAGAAGACCAGAACGTTTATGCAAGATGATGACCCCAGTTATAAGAGTAACTCACTAATTCCTGAGCAAAGTTGCCCACTGGTTAGACCACCAGCTACAAGGCTGGGGTGTTTTGCACGGGATGATGGTACCAGATACAAGAAAATTCAACAGCCTCTAGGACAACTTCACAGTGACCACCCAGGGATCCAAGTCTGTCACAAGAAGATCTTTTGAAACCATGCCTTGGCCAATGAAAATTACCAGACTTTAGCCCATTCCAGCAAATCAATAAAAACCTTTTGCTGTCATAGTTCTGTGATCAGCAGCCTGGTCGCTCTCTCAACCAACTGTTCTCTCCCTTCAGCCAAAGCCCAATTTGGGCGAAGCTCCTTGCCCCAAACAGGCTTTGTCTGTGCACTGCTGTATATGCTTACAGTGTCTGTCCCACTCCCATCTGCACCATCTCTGGGTCAAAAAGATCCTACTGGGGGCTGGGGATTTAGCTCAGCGGCACAGCGCCTGCCTGGCAAGCGCAAGGTTGTAAGTTCGATTCCCGGTACTGGAAAAAAAACAAAAAACAACAAAAAAAAAAACCCCAAAAGATCCCACTGTCCAGTAGCACACTGTCTACTGCCCCTGCTCCATCTTCTCAGCATGGCAGCTACCTCTCAAAGAGGGGATCAAGGGGGGTGGGGAATGGGGGGATGGAGAGAAGAGGTAGAAATACTTTTCCAAAGTATGTGATACGGTCTCAATATTTATATCTCCCTGTCAAATTTATATTTTGTGATCCTATCCCCAAAGGTGGGGATACTTAGGGTATGGGGCCTTTAGGAAGCGATCAGATTGTGAAATTAGAACCCTTACTAATAGGACTGGTACTAATAGGACGCTCTTATGCGGACAGCTAGCTGCCTCTAGCTTACTGAGGTGTGGACACAGCCTGCAGGCACTATGGGCACGAGGAACTCTCCATCTATGAACACAGAAGCCCTTGCCAAGCATCTGAGTCTGCCTGTGCTTTGATCCTGGACTTAGCCTCTGAAACTGTGAGAAATTTCTGTTTTCATAAGCTGCTCAGCCTTTGGTATTTCGTTACGGCAATTCAAACAGACAAGTACACTGTTCCTTTCTGATATTAGAACTGAATCTACCCCTAGAAATAGGAGAAAGAATAAGGGCTCCCAAAAATACATGTTCTACCCTACCAGCTTTGGAAGTTGAGAGGGAAGAGAAGATATAAATATTTAGAACAATTGAAAAAAATTATAAGCACAAAAACGTAGTGTGAGAGAGTTACATTGGAATTAATAAAGTGAGAAAGAATTTTATAGGGAAGCTAGCATTTGAGATGACCCCAGAAAAAACGAATCGAGTTCATCAAATACCATCAGTATTTATCAAGTACAGTGTCAGGTCATTGGTCCTGGGCTATTATAAAGGAAGATCACTAACTCACCATCTCCAGCTTCAAAGTCTGAGCCATCTGGTTCTCAGCTAGCTTCACATTAGATTCATTTGAGCAGCTTTCTTCGCACACCCGTAATCCTTGCTTAACTGGCCTGGGGTGGGTCCTGGGCATCAGGAATCCTTAGACTCTCAGGTGTCAGCAAAGAGCTCTTACAAGGGGACTATAAAAGATATATATAACCTGAACGTCACTGAATAATTAGATTGTTAAAAATTCAAAAACAGGAAGATTTCTCCATGACTTTAAGACAACTCCTTTTAGTGTTTTGACTAAAAATAGGAATAGCAAAAGTTTCTAGAAAGCTAGAGATGTTTGAGGTTTTAAATCTTGTTCCACGTGGCAGTTACGCAGGGTATGTACAGGACATCTCAGAGATGAATTCAGCTGTGAGCCGCCAATAGCCAACACAATCAGCAGCTGGGGGAACTGTGTTCTTCGTCCTGGAAGGGCCGTCTGAGCAGAGCGCCCCAGCGTCTACTGTACCCAGAGACTCCAAAGAAAAACTCAGGGCTGAGACTTATTGATCTAGGTCAGTGATTCTCCAAGGACGATTCCTGACCGGCATCCTGATCAGCAGCATCTTGACATGAGAACTTGCTAGAAATGCAGATTATTGGTGCGTAATGAACCCAAGCCCTTGGGGAGAGAGATGTGTAGTCTGTATTTTAAGCCTGCCTAAGATTGCTCCAGAGGTTCTAATATGAACTAAAATTTAAAAATAACTGGTCTAAATGGGTTTCATTTGAACTTGAGAAGGATTTAGGGAGAGTGTAAGGAAACTTAACAATACTGTATCACAAAGCACGTCAAGTATAACACGACTGGGAGAAATTGCACAAATGCAGTTGGGCGAAAAGTGAAGAAGAAACTGACTCAGTAGATGGAACTAGTTACGAGAGGAGCTTATAAGTTCCCCCCTCGTCATCCGATAGGTCATTAGGGAGAGTGTAGGTTCTTACAGCTTGGCAGAGGAACAAGGTGAACCGGGGGAAAGAGAAGCTCCGTGAGGGGACAATTCCAACAGGAGACAACTGAAATAACCCATGCATAAAGTAAGGAAGACAAAAAATAGTCATTCACAATAAAAACAGGAAGGAAAAAATGACTCTGAGGGACTCCGCCATGGTTGCCAACAGAACTTGCCTCTCCAATGAGAAAGCAAAGATCACTAAAAGGCTTTGAAATTCACATCACTAGTGTGGCAGAAAACACCCGCACCCCCAGCCGGTCTGTGAGGTGCCCGGGTAACACAGTTCCTGGTACTTCCGTCTCCTAGCAACGGGCGGTCACTGTGATGCACATTGTAAGAGCCAGTCAGAGACAATCAACGACTCTACCTCTGTACTTCCTGCTTACTTATCTCATACAAGCCCCAGAGAGCAGAGCTCAGCGCCTGATATTCTGGGAATGGCCCCGATGAGAGCCCGTCGAGGTAAATAAATCTGCCTCCAAATCCTGGCTGTCGTTTTTGTGTTTCTGCTTGCTGTTGCACGAGGACAATAGCCTCCACTAACACAAATGAGGAACCTGAGGAGAAAACTGAGACCACAATGAGAAAATAACAGGAATTTTGTTTTCTGTTCTGGAAAGCAAGCCTGGGTCATCCGGGTAGATTCTCTTATGAACAGCTAGAAACGTGGGGCAGGCTCAATTTATTCCTAAGTGAAAATTTGAGAGACAGCGTGGAGGTTTCAGCTAGAACCTTGAAGAAAGACAAGTGAGCAGCTGGACTGGGGGGACGTTCAGGGCCAGCTGTGGGGTTGGTGACGGCTTCACCCGCGACTCAAACTAAATGTCTTCTCTGAGGCTGCTTCTTCAGTGCAGATGCCTCCTTCCCCGCACCCCACACACTGTTTAGGAAAGCTATCCTGAGCGAAGTTTAAAAAAGAATTTCCCTTTCACAAGTAATTCTATTTGTTTAGATATTAGAAAAAAAATGCAGGGGCTGGGGATTTAGCTCAGCGGCAAAAGCGCCTGCCTGGCAAGCGCAAGGTCGTGAGTTTGGTTCCCGGTACTGGAGAAAAACCAAAAAAAAAAAAAAAAAAAAAAAATGCAGAATCTCCACCATCCTAGAGTGGTTTATGAAATGTTATGAGAATAAGCTGAACCTGTCTCTCAAGCTTCTTTGGCTAAAGAATCGTTTATTTTTGGAGCACTGAGGTCTCCTGAAACAAATGTTTTGCTGAATAATTTGAGAAGTTTTGGTCAAGATGAGGGTGCTAAGCCTACAGCATTAGAATGTCTGGAGTGCTTCAAAAGCTAGGTGGGTGCCTGCAACCCATCCCAAACCTGAAGATTCTGTGTTTGACCAGCAACCAAACACCCATGCAAGCACACATGCACACAGGCATGCATACTCAATTCTGAATTATCAGGTCTGGAAATAGCTGGTCTAGATAATTTCTAAGGCTTTTTATAAGAAAGAACAAAGTGGGAAGGAGTATTTGGAAGAAAGTTGTCAGAAATGTGTTTGGAGCCAGGCACGGTGGTACATGCCTGTAATCCCAGCACATGGGAAGCACACGGGAAGCAGAGGCAGGATGATTGCTGCAACTTCAAGGCCAACCTAAACTACAGTGAGACGCTGTCTCAAAAAAAAAAAAACAAATAACAAAAAAAGTGTTTGGTAGAAATTAAGTAAAAAGGGGCGTAAGAAAGTATCACTGAATATTCACGTGGACCACGAGTCTCTTGTGTGTTTTGTTCCATGTAGACGGAAGTCTGCTCACTTCCCGGTGCATAACGCTCCTCCATAGCTGTCCATCGTCCCGCAGGCAGCTCTGTGGGAAAGTGGCCTAGTGGACTTGCCGTTACTGCGGTGCCATCCAGAACCTGACGCATTTCCCTCTGCTCTTCCTTCCTCTTCTCCATCCCTTGGCTGATTTATTTTGCTCATCACTCCCCAGCTTACATATCATTCCCCAGACAGCCCTTCCGCCCTCAGTTGTTTCCCCTAGCTATCCTTATTTCCTTATTTATGTCCTCTCCAGCATTTTTAGAGCAAACCTAAGGCCTCATAAATGCTGAACATGTTTCACCACATGAGTTACATCCCCAGCGCCAAAGCAAACCCTTTTAAAGATAAACTGGAAAATACAGCCAGGAATCGCTCTCTCAGACACTTCAGCAACAATTGGTTTCAGTCATCGTCTTGCTTCCAGCCTTCATTCTGCATCTTAATTTGGACCCAGCACCTCTCTCCTGCTTTGGACATGGATTTCCAAGTTTGTAAGATGTGTGTCAAGCTAGGGTTAAAGATCTCTGGGGCTGCTAGCACTTCTGCCGGCCCTGGCGCAAGGCTCGCTCTAACCGCAGGATATATATCCCCGCAGTTTCGCTCACTCGGGCTGGTAAACGCAGCTTCCCTTTCCTGCGAGCCACAGAGTGGAGAACACCGTCTTCCTCTTTCTGCTCGCTCTTCGTTCCCCTCTACTTCCCCAGAGTCCCACACAGGCTCCCTCCACCTCCAGCCCAGCCGAAGAAAACCTCAGAAGGCCCTTCACATCTCCCAGACACCTGGGACACCCGTGAAAACAATTCTGCACTTGCAATTTAAAAATACGTTTGTAAATCCTGATTACAGAGATTCTTGGCTTCCTCAACACTCCCTGTTTACCTTGCATATGTGCTTAATTAGCACAGCAAAGTACAGAATAAATGTCATGAGATGGAGCCTCTTGGTGACTTGAAAACAACAACTTCTTGCTCCCTTATTGGACCTGCCACAGCTGCTTGCTTGATTTGCACAGAAATTTGAGTTATGATAAACTTCCTGAATCATTTCAGGCTCAGCACTGTTTGGGTCCGCAGATTCTGTACCCATTTGCAAGATACAACACCTCAGTATGCCTTGATTCGCAGTGTTTAATGTAGCAGCACTGTGGGTTTCTTACCTTTTTAATACATTGTCTTTCTTATTTTTTACTAAAATTAGCAAAAATAAATTTAGTATTTTGCATACACAAAAGATTGGAACAGTGCAGAAGTTACACATCTTAAGTTATATCAGATGGCAAGCACTTTTTTTCTCCTTCTCTTTTCACCCTCGTTATCACTTCTACAAGAGAAGCAAAACTGAAACCCAAAATTCTCTTAACCACTAGGAAAGAAATGGTGATGGGGAAGAGAAAACTAAACTCAACTGAAATTTGCCTTGCAATTGGTTACACTGGATTTGATCAGGAAGCTCATCATCCTGTGAATTATATTAGCAGAATTATACCAGGAAACAAAAGAATTGCTAGATTTATATTTGGAAAAATAGCCCTTAAACTCAACAATAAGAACATAAACAACACAATTTAAAAATGAGTAAAAGACCTTCAAAAGCACATCACCAAAGAGAATAAACAGATGGCAAATAAGCATATGAAAAGATGTTCCTATCATATATCACCAGGGAAATGCAAATTAAAACAACAGTGAGATTCTATTGCATATCTGTTAGAATAACCAAAGTCTAGAACAGTGACAACATGAAATGCTGGTAGGGGTGTAGAGCAACAGGAACTCCCTTCCTTACCTCTCATTCCTTGTTGATGGGACTGCAAATGTCACAGCCCCTTTGGATGACAGTTGGCCAACTTCTTACGAAACTAAACATATTCTTACCATATGATCCAACATTTATAGACCCTGGTACAGAATTTACCCAAAGGAGTCCAAAATGTATGTCCACACCAAGACCTGATGTTGATGCCTGCAGCAGTTTTATTCATAATTGCCAAAACTGGGAAGTGACTAAACTATCACAAATAGATAAATACACTGTGGTACATCTAGACAACAGAGTATTATTCAGTACTTAAGGTATCAAGCCATGAAAAGACACAGAAGAAACTTAGGCACATTTTACTAAGGTAAAGAAGCCAACCTGAAAGGGCTACATGCTATATGATTTCAGCTATACGTCATTTCTAGAAACTGTGGATCAGTGGCCAAGAGTTGAAGGAAGGAAGAGATAAATAGGTAAAGGATTTGGGGATAATAAAACTATTTTTTATTTTACTATAATGATAGATACATGTCATTATGCATTTGTCCAAAGCCATAGAAAATACAATGCCAAAAGTGAACCCTAATGTGAACTATGGACACTAGGTGATAATGATGCATCAGAATATGCTTAACAATTTTAACAACTGTAACCCTCTGGTGGAGTTATGATAATGGGGTAGATTATTTATGTGTGGGAGCAGAAGACACAAAGGAAATTTCTGTACCTGGCAATCAATTTTCCTGTGAACCTAAAAGTGCTGTAAAATATAGTTTGCTTTTAAAAAATATCCTTCTGTGTTTTAAAAAGGGACTACATAATTGTTACTCAAGATGAAAATCACTATCGCATATCAATGAAAGGAAACATTTATATATTTTCAGTTAGGTTCTAATAAATAGAACAAAGCTGATTTGAAGAAGCGCAGAATCTAATCATCTCCATAGAAGATGCTAGCCTTCAAAAGCACCAGAGATACTTACAGATTTCCAACCATCAGTGACACAATATGGCATAGGATGGTGGTTTTCAACTTTTTCAAGTATGAAGACATTTTCAACAGCAACACATTTTGAGAATGTCACTTTATCATTGGTGTCATTTACTGGTAAGTCTGTTGAAAAAATGCATCATATTTGTCCTGATGAAGGCATCTAAAAGTGAACTTAGAGGCTCTATAGACTGAGATCTTTGCCCAGCAGAGATCAAGAATACTAACTCTACCAATCTGTCCCCAGAAACTGGAGGCATAGAAAGAAGAAAGCCAGCGTGCATCTAAAGGGAGCAAAATGCTCGAGTAATTGAACCCTTTCACGGGATTCATAAGAGGAGGCCAGCTGAGTGTCACTTCCTTGCTTCTAACCACCTCCCCTCTGTATCCTTTTTAGGAATTTTTTACTAATTTTTTGCTTTGTCGGACAATTGAAAAATAAAAGTAAGGTTAAATTATTGATTTATAACTTTAGAAGTGATAACAGAAGAAGCAGAAAAACGTTGATCCGCAGGAGTGGCTGGGTGCAGAGTAGAGAGTGATGAGGGGAACACACAGCCTGGAGGAAGAGCTTCCTCGGACGGGTCTGGAAGGATCCAGTGAGCCCTGAAGCCAGTCTGGTCTCCAAGAAGCTCACGTACCCTCACTTGGGTTCCTAGCCTTCTACTAGAACCTAAGCAGTGCCTGTTCTTGATACTTCATGACCCAAGAGCCCTGCATTCCTTAATTTCCCAGCTGCCACGAAATAACTATCTCAGAAACAAAATGCTCCAGGTCAAGTTTGTCTCTATTCTTCATAACTAGAAGTTCACACTAGTGCATACATTAAACTCAGCTTTTCTCATGGTGAATGTTTATCAAACGGGAAAACAACCCAAAGCCCTTTTCTTACTCCTCCTAATTTCTAATATTTACGTATTTAAAGAGAAATGATCTCTTTAGGTGTTAAACAAATATAAAGTAAGGAAGCCTACTTTCTGTTTTAGCTGCTTGTATCGTAAGTGTCCTCTTTCTCACCAGATTATAGTTACCAGCAAAGTCCTTCTATGAGTTTTCCTTGTTAGAATACGACTGCTTAACATTCCAAATATTGGTAGGACACAAAACTCACGTCACTGATGCTTAGAAGTGCTGTGGTTTGAATATGATCTACGTTCTCTAAAACATGTTGAAGTTTTGATTGTCATGTGGCAGGGCTGCAAGGCGAGGCCTTTAAGAGGTGACTGAGTCATGAGGGTTCTATCCCCATAAATGAGTGAGTCCATTCATAGGTTAATGAATTTAAGTTAATGGGTTATTACAGAGCCAGCTCTGTTATTAAGAAATGCAATCTCTGCCTTACCGCGTGTGTCAGCTTTCCCATCACTAGAAAAATATGTCTGATGCCCAGACTTCAAAGGAGAAACAGTCTGACTGGGTCATGGTTGGGGGCTTCAGTCCATGGTTGACTAGAGCCAAGGCAGAAATGGCGCAGTGGAACGGGGGTATGGTGAGGAAAAGTGCACACTTCATGGCGTCCAGGGAACAGAGGAGAGGAGCTGGGGACATGTACACACCTTCCAGGTTACGCGCCAGTGCCCACCTCTTCCAGCCACGCCCACCACCAAGCACATGAGACTTGGGACCACATTTTATATCTGCACCACAACTTTCCACTCCTGGCGCCACTTCTAAGACTCACCAGCTCTTATCCGTCCAGCACTGCTGAGAAGTCCTAATCCAAAGTCTTCTCTGAGATTCAAGGCAAATTCTTAGCTGTGAGCCCCTGCATAAATTTAAAAGACAGTGAAATACTTCTAATATACAGGACGTGATCAAAATATACAGTGAATGTTTTAATTTTTTTTTAAATAATTACTACAGTAAAAGACACATTTCCATTTATTCCCCTCAAAATAATCCCCCTATCTTCAAACACTTATCCTATCATTCTTGCCACTTTTTGAAAGAGTTCTGGAAGTGTTCTTTCATAAGCATCTTTGTGGAGTATAATAAAAGAAAGTATGATGAATATTACAGCTGAGTTCCCTCAGACAGAAAGACAGGCTCACAGAAGCATTACAGCGTGCCCTGATCTACCTTAGTCACTGGGTCTGACGCCATGAGACTTCTGCTTCTTCCCCAAAATGTACCAGGGAAGGTAAGTGTTTTTAACTGATTTAGGAAAACAAGGCAGCAACTAAACAATCAAGAGAAGACTTCCAGAACTGCTCAGAAAATGGCAAGAGCAACGGGATAAATGTACTTGAAATGAAGGAGAGTGTTTTGACGTGGACTAGTGGCAATGCATTTTCACATTTTAAAAAACTTGAACACACATTGTATTTTTTTATCACACCATGTACAATGGCACAAGTTAAATATTCCCATTCCAGAGTAAAAAAAAACAAACCAAAGTTAGGCTGAAAACTGTGAGGGAAAACGTTAAGTCCTGTAGCTCCGTGTCCTGCTCCCAGAGCGAGCTGTGCCCAGGGTGAGCTCCAAAGGGCTCAGGTGGCCCAACCCTGTGACCTCGTTTTGTGCGGCCCGCATGGCCTCCCCACTGAGTAGACTCTCATGGGCCTGCAAATTCTTCAGCAGACATTCCACATTCCTGGCATCTCCAACTTCCTGCACCTTTGGCTTTCCTCTCACAGTTTTGCATATTGCCCTTTCTGAGCCACAGTGTTCGGCCTCCTAAGCCTTCTTCGGAAATCTGGGTGGAGGCCTCCACAACTTCATAGCTCCTGCATTTTGCATTCCTAAAAGCCAGCACCACATGGATGATGCCAAGGTCTGCTACTAGCTGGAGCCGTAGCCTCAGTGACCTCTGAGACCACAGCGGCAATGACCTCTAAGGCCTGAATGACCGAACCTGGGGAAATACTTCCCTAGGCAGCCCTGAAAGAGCAGGGGCTCTCCTCCCAAAGGGAAGTCTTTCAAAGGAGTTTATCCTTTTACAGTGTTGAGCCTGTGAAGGACAAGGTCCGGCCAGTGTCTGAAATGTCTTTGCACCACCTTTTCTATTGTCCTGATCCAGAATAGTTGCCTTCTTTTTAATGCTGATCTTTTCAGTGGCCCAGCTCTCCTCATCCCCAAGTTTGCAGATGCTTACAGATGCTTCCTCTCTGATAAAACTACAAGTTTTTCACGTCTATTTTTTGTTACTTATTCTCACTGTGGATCTGGCTAAATGCAGCCACCAGTACTGATGCCTCAAGCCTAAACATTGGGCTGCCTGGAGATCTCTTCCACCAGATTATTTAGCCAACTACCTTTAAATTGAGCCCCCTTCAAAGTCTTTGTACGTGAGCAAAACATAGGCAAGGTTTGTTTTTTTTTTTTTGTTTTTTTGGTTTTTTTTTTCCATAATGAAACATCCATGGCCTGTAGTCCAGTTTCCAAGAGTCCTTACTCCCATCTGCAACCTCAGGAGTCTGGCCTTTACTGTGTGAATTCCTGTACCGTTCTAGTCCTCTCAGCCCCGCTCAGAACCATCCATCAAGCTCTGCTTACAGCATTCCAGAGCTTCGGTGGGCCACTTTTCCAAACTCCCTCCCACAAGCAAGTTTCAAATGCTTCTGGACCACGTGGTGAGGCACCGGCGCACCAACAACCCAACTACTCGTACCAGTTTCTGTATTAGTCAGATTTCCCACTGCTGGGACAAAATACCTGAAATCCACAACTTAAAGAAGGAAAGGTTTAATGTGGCTCACGGTTTTGGGTTTTAGCCCATGGCTGGCTGCCTCCAAGGCAGAAATGGCACAGCAAAAAGGCGTAGGGAGGAAAATTTGCTCAGTTCATGGCAGCCAGGAGAGAGAGAGAGAGAGAGAGAGGGAGAGAGGGAGAGAGGGAGGGAGATAGAGAGAGAGAGGAGCCAGGGGCAAGAATACACCCTTCCAGGTCACACACCAGTGACCTGCGTCTTCCAACCAGGCCCCACCTCTAAACACATGAGACTTTGGGGAGACATTTGGATCTAGAGCATAACATCATGTGACTTCTTCTTCTGTGCTATGATGTAGCAGGAGAGCTTTTACCAGATGCCAGACAGACGTTGGTACCATGGCCAAATGTTTAAGAACCAGTTAAGTCATTCCACTATACTGCAGGTGTCTTTTTAAAGTTTGTTGTCTTAGTTTAGACAAGTGTTTTATTTGTACTTGCACAAACTCAAGTAACGAGACTGTCTCCTTGCTGAAAGAAAATCTGACATACTTTAATCTGGCCTATCATCCATTGATCATCGGGCTTACAAAGAAGCAAACGCAGGCTAGGTGGCAGGACTGAAAGAACGAGGAAAGGGTGGTAGGAGAGGCGTGGACCTGTGAGGACATAAGGGCAGATGTAAATGAGAAGGAACGCGGGGAGCTGAGCAAACGTGTGAAACGGCCGCGACGGGGCGACAGGCAGAGGTAGAAGCGATGGCAGAATGGAAGGCATGATCCTGGCCAAGAGGCGTTCACATTTAACCCGAATTGGAAATGAAACAGTTCTGTGCTACAAACACAAGTATTTCACCATCAATCTGGGCCCCGTATAGCCTTAGAAATCATGCTTAGGAATTGTGTCTATCCAAAAGCTGTAGGAATGAAACTGCTAAAATTAAAGTATGCTGGGAAGAGGGACGCTGTTAAATCTGTATCTAGAAAAGCACAGCATTTTAGAAAACTAAAATAAAAACCTTCTGAATAGACTCACAGTGGTAAAATAGTCACACCTATGAAAACAAAACAGGACGGTCCTTCCAGCTCCAGGACACATAGTGGATTGGAAGTTTCAGGGAAAGGTGCCGAACGCACATGTCTGACTGTGCTCCCCGGAAAACCCACTTGAAAGATTTTTTAGAAATCAATTAAAAATGGGGAAAAAAAAGAAAAGAGATGGATATCAAAAAATTGGGGGCTCATTTAAGTAAATCAAAACAACCCTGGGATTCTCCCTTACTCCCGCAAGAAGCCCATTTTCAAGAACTTGAAAAACATCAAATGGGGGCAGGTCATGGGGTAAAGGAATGCTAATGTATCATGGGTGGGAGTGTAAACTAGTAAAACCACTATGGAAATCAGTATGGAGATTTCTCAAAAAAAAAAACCAACAAAAAAACAACTAGAATTAGCAATTGCATTTAACCCAGCTATGCCTCTCCTGGGTATCTTCCCAAAATAGCTAAAGTCATCCTACCACAGCAATACAGGCATACCCACGTTTACGGCAGTACAACTCACAATAGCTAAATCACGGAAGTAACTTATATGCTCATCATCAGATGAAGAGATAAGGAAAACGTGGATTGTACATGATGGAGTTCTATTGTGCCATAAAGAAGGATACATATCAGTCATTTGTAGGAAAATAGTTGGATCTTGAGATCATAATTCTAAGTGAAGTAAATCAGTTACAAAAGGTGAAATATTGCATGGTCTCTTTAATACATGAGACCCAAAATATAAATGATTTGTAGAACAAAATAAGAACCAGATTGTAAAACATGAAGGTAGACTCTGTGGAGGTGGGAAGGTGATCCGGGGAAGGACAGAGAGAGAAATGGCCCATGAGCATAAAAATGATTAAGATGCATGCCGGGCGTGGTGGTGCACGCTTATAATCCCAACTTAGGAGGCTGAGGCAGGTGGACCGCTGTGAGTTCAAAGCCGGCCTGGGCTATGTATGAGTCAAGGCCAGCCTGAATTACAGATCAATACCCTCCCTCAAGAAAAAATAAAAATAAAAATAAGACAGGCGTGGTGGTGCAAGCCTATACAGCACTCAAGAGGCTGAGGCAGGAAAACTGTTCAGAGTTTGAGGCCAGCCTGGGCTACAAAGTGAGCTCAAGGCCAGCCTGAACTACATAGCAAGACCCTGTCTTAAAAAAAAAAAAAAAAGACAAAAGAAGAAAATAAAAATAAAAAAAATAAAATAAAAATGATTAAGATACAAAAGATATATGCATTAAATACTCCAGCAGAATCTAATGCAAACATGCACTAATTTTAAAATAAGTGTTGGGGCAAGAAAGACAATGGGGGATGGTAGCTGATGTGGGGAGCTCCAAAAGTCAAATCCTACATCAGAGGTGGTGAAAGCCAAACCCAGCCGATTTGATCTGTAATTCTGTAATTCTTGATCTGTAATTCAGGCTGGCCTTGACTCATACATAGCCCAGGCTGGCTTTGAACTCACAGCGATCCACCAAACCACAGACTCCTCCAGGGCCGTGACGGCAGCATCAGGATCCTCTGGACATGGAGGTAAAATAGAGCCCCAGAACAGGGGCACAAGATGAAGGCCGTGTGGGAGCCAACAGCCTTAGATCCTCTCCCCACTGCGTGCCGCACAGACAGCCCCTGCCCCCCGCTGTCAGAAGTCTGAACGTTCCTTCTCGGAAGAGAGTTCAGCGGGGTGACTGGGGACTGATGGTCAGTCACCAAGCGTAGATGAAAGCGGAAGTGTTATTCTCAGACAGGAGAGAAAGGAATTTCTGGATACTGACTGTGGGGACAACCAGCTCTCTTCCTCCGCTTAGCTTCTAAAATACTACTGGCTAGGCCCCTCTATTTACGGACCAAGGCCAGGTCTGCTATGGGGAGTCCTAGCAAACTGAGATGAGAATCAGAAAGTGGCCCAGTCAGGTCACCCTAAAGTATAACTCAACTATTAAGTCAAATATCTATAAGCATGAACGTGTGCCTTGTTCTGAAGGGAGACATGATCTTCTAAGGGTATTTTCTATACAAGCTTCCTTTTAAGAGGTACGCTGTAGCAAAGGGGAAGCAACCACATTGCTAGATACACAGAAATATGAAAGACCTGTAAGAATTTTAAAATAAATAAATAAATAGAATTATCTCCACAACCTATGCGCTCAGATAACTCTGTACAGTTCCTTCATTGCACTTACAATAGTTGTAATCACAGTTTGGTTATGTTTACCATTCGTCTCTCCTCTAAATAATTGTCCCCTTGGAGGCAGGGACCATGTGTGTTCTGTTCACTGTTACAAATCCAATGGCTAGCAAAGTGCAAATACGTAAGAGAAGCACAATACTTTTTTTTAAAAATTGTTATTAATTATTAAACTTGAGCACATTAGAGACACAAGTTCCTGATATAACAAAGCAAAATATATCTTAACATGTCTTCATAGTTATCCGGTACCTGTTATTTTACAAAGCACCTTTTACACGATATTTCATGAAAATGGCACAATAAATCTTTGAATTAGATGAAGAGGTTGAGAGACATGTCCAAGACCTCGGGAGCTTGTCCTTGGGTATTCATTGTTCTTTCGTCTTTATTAAGTCTTTTTATCTAAGAGAAATTCAAAGTAGACAAGGTCAAAAGTAGAACTAAGGGGAATATTTTTAATATTTAATTTAAGTGAAAAGTTGAACATTAGTGGAAGTATTTTTCTTCAGTATACTTATCACAGTGAGTATCAATGACTAGAACTCAATTTCCAACATTCTGTGAAATAGCAATACTTTAAAGTATGCAACATTTACAGATCATTTCATTCTCACAAAACACAAATGAGGTGGTATCATTGTTTCACTTTTAACAGATGATGAAATTGAGGTTTGGAGTCATTTAACTAATGGGCAGAAATCACACAGCTAACTCTCCCATGAGTTAAAATATAGGTGTGTTAGACTGAAAGTACGCATTCTTATACAATAAATTGCTCCCTTAAAATGTAGATTCCTCTTCCTCAGTACCATTGAAAACAGTGCACTTTTTATTACTGCATGTTGCAGTAACAATGATTACATTCCTTGCGGGAGTCGGTACATGCACATAACACATCTGAACTTTTCTTCATCCCCTTCTCCTCCCTCTACCTCTTGGTCCCCCGCCCTTTTGCAAAAAATCTACCTTCCCATTTTGTTTCTATCTTTCATTTTGCTCTTTAATTTATTTATACTTTGAGTTTCTCATAGAAGGGAAACCATGCAATATTTAAATTTGTGTGTTTGATTTATTTTACTTAACATTATGGTCTCAAGATCCAGCCATTTTCCTACAAATGATTCAATCTATCTAATATATTATGCTATACATTAAAATCTTACTTTGTCTTTTTTTTTTTTTCTGGTACCAGGAATCGAACTCACGACCTTGCACTTGCCAGGCAACTGCTGTGCCACTGAGCTAAATCCCCAGCCCCTTACTTTGTCTTAATATGTCAAATAGTGTGAAACCAAGAAATTGTTTCCTAAAACAAGCCACCTCACCTAAGAAGTGATTGGCATATAAAGTTATAGAAACTATTACATGCACATTTGCTCTCAGAATTTGGATTTTCTTTGCAGTATACTAGCTGTCCTATGTACTAGGAATTAGATTGAAACAAATATTAATATTTCAACTTTGCAATCTGCCTTAAATCAATACTTTAGTAATGACATAGTATAGATTAGCACATTCAGACAAGTAGAATTTTAGAAAATTTATTTCCTCCTTTCATACATTATTTCAATGTTTTACATCTAATTTCATGTACAGAAAACTTTTTTTTGTGCCGTTTATTTTGCACTTATTATGTATTGCTTTGTAGGGTAATCTCTTTAGATAGTGTCTGCATTTCTTTTTTTTTTCCCCCGGTACCAGGAATTGAACTCACGACCTCATGCTTGCCAGGCGGGCGCTGTGCCGCTGAGCTAAACCCCCAGCCCTCTCTAGATATTGAATTTCACACCCAGGATGTAGTTTCCTTCAGGACAAGGATCCTGTCCTATGGCTTACAGCTCTCCTTCCTCAGCCTCTCCTTGCATTGTGAAGCCTCAGTGCGTTCTGTTCTTCTCTCCAGTTAAAGTTACCTGCAGAATTAGCACTAGCTAACCACCCTGCTGCCAGAGGTAATCTAACTGAGGTATGAGTACATTAAAGTCTGTCAGAAAATGGCATCTGGGGCTCCTCCTCACAGGTGGAGCAATGTGATGAGACCCTCCAGGTTTGGCAGTCCTCCGCTCCGGGTCTGGAGCCCCAGAACGCTCCCATGTGCAGACCCTGCCCTGTACTTTATTGCTGTTCCCGTGCTCCCATCTAATAACTTTTCATAACATGTCCGCGTCTCCCAGGTTTCAGGGGAAAAGGCAAACAAGGTTGAGATTGGCTTTCGCCCTAAGGGGAAATCTGGAGTGTGCATTATAGCTCAGACCCGTCCTGTCCTGAGGCAGCAGGCTGGGTTTTTTTACTCCACACTCTGACAGTTATTGGTTAACAGCTGCCTCAGAGGAGCCAAACTCCCCCGCTCCGTGCCTGCCTGCAAAACAGCCCCAGTGTGAGAACAGTCAGTCCTCCCAAGAATGACGCAGGCAGATGCCGTGACGGGGAGGGGAAGGCATTGAAATGCTGAAAAAGTAAACGTGACACGAGGGTACCTGGTCAAATCCCTCGTTAGACCATGTGCTACATTTCTTTTTTTTGTTTTTCTCCGGTACCAGGAACTGAACTCACGACCTTGCGTTTGCCAGGCAGGCGCTTTTGCCGCTGAGCTAAATCCCCAGCCCCCATGTGCTACATTTCTATCCATCAGAAGCAGTTCGCAGAAGGAAACCTCAGGAAACAGGCACCCTGCCACACAGCCTAGGACAGTGATGTGGATGGCCCAGCACCTATCTGCCACGGATGCAGCTAATGTTACAAGAAAGAAAAGATCAGGTGGTATGAGCCTACCTCTCAGGAGGAGAATCTGAGGAAAGGCATAGGAGCAACCCCGGGACACATCTGAGCTAACAGGGAACTGCAGAGGTGAAGGAAGTCAGTGCCGAAGAGGATGACAGTGTGGCATTTCTGAATGCTCCTGAGGCACCGCGGCATCACCAGAGAATCAAGAGGAAGGAATGTGCAAAGGTACTGCTCCCGTTCTTTGGGCTGAGCCTCAGCTAGAGAAATATAATTTTATCAGATGCTGGTGTGGGCTGGGAAAAGACAAATAACAACCTCCTTTTTCTGCTACACTGCCATTCTGCTATAACTGAGTCCAAACAAAAGTTAACAGTATTATCAGACTTACAGGTAAAAAAAAAATGAACTGACTTTTCACTATCAGCAAATCTTTCCAATTCAAGAGTCTGACTGTTCATTCACCCCCACAATTATATATATTGCCACAGAAGAAGGTTGTTTTTGTTTGTTTGGATGGTTGGTTAGGTTTTTTGTTTTGCTAACAATTCATCTAACATTCTCCATCCATGTTGTTTATAAAGTTACGTCAAAAACCATAATAATTCATATCATAGAAGCATTGCACGTGTCTTAGCGATTTTCCTTGTCACCGGGAGAAAACACGTGACACCCACAGTTTAAAGGAGAAGGGGTTTATCTGAGCTCAGAGTTCTAGTCTACCGTGAGCTGGCTCCACGGCAGAAACAGGACAGCGGAGAGGCTGGCGGGAGGAGAGTGCTCAATCCATGGCTCCAGGAAGAGAAAGAAGGGAGGAGTAAGGCACAGAAATGCTCCCTTCGGAGTTGCACCCCAAGAGACCCACCTCCAGCCAGGCCCTACCTCCCGACAGCACATTCAGCTGCTGAACTCATCCAGTCATCTTCCACACACACGAGAATTTGGGGGACATTTTAGGTTTAAACCATGACAGATAGAGAGAAAGAGGACAAAGAAGCTTCTATATTAAAAAAAGAACCAGCTGCACACCAAGGTCGACCGTGAGATTCAGGTTAGTGGCTACTGGTGGGAAGAAGGAAGGACATGAGATTTTTGAGGGGTAAGCCGTGCTTTTTTATATATCTGATATACTGTGCACCAATTATCTAAATAAGTAAATTGAAATAAATGTACGCTCTGGTGTTTTCTTGCCTCATGTTAAGGATCACCTTGGACTCTTGTACTTTATTTGGGACTGTGTCTGAAGATGTTGAAGGCTTCACCTGACAGAGGGGTTAAGGAGTAAGAACTCAATTAGAGAGATTTTTAAGTGGTGGCTGAATACGAAGTTGTAAAGAGTAATAGGTACTTGAGTGATACTGTGTTTCTAGAAAAGTTGTTTCCTTTCCCATTCTGCAGTTCCGAGCTACATTTTATGGCAATCTCCAACTGGACTGCTAGCCCAATTTTTCATTTCCCACTTAGGTATGTGAAATAATGAATCAATCAGTGTGCATGCCAATAAAGGTTTTGTAGGAGCACTTACGTGTCAGACACTATGCCAGACAGCTAATTAAGACATGGGCCTTGTCCTCCAAAAGCAGATTGTTATTGTACTATGAGGATAACAGCTAACATTTACTGAGACCTTTACTTGTGCTTGTGCTGAGTGCTAAGCACTTGGTCTGCCTGATCTCATTAAATCATCAGAGCATCCCTGTGAGAAAAGTATCATTAATCCCCGTGAGGTATACAAGAAGAAACAGAAGCTTCCAGAGGAAGTTGCCTGAGGTTAATTACAGCTCAACAAAGATCAGAACCAAACACTTAATAATTATAAGATCTGTATGCTTCATCACTGGGTTACACAGCAAAAATCAATGGAAAAGTTTCTGTGGGAATCTAGAAGAAAAACTTTCTAGCTCTAGAGTATTCAATGAAGGTTTCAAAGACAAAGATATAATTGGATACAATTTTAAAGGCCAGGTGGCAAAGAACATTCTAAACAAAGCTGCACTAGAGGTAAGGGAGCGTATCCCGCAGAAGTAGCTTTGTGTGTTTCACTGATGCGTGTTTGGAGCAGTGTCCGAGGTGAGTGTGATGAGGTTAGTAGGAAACAAAGCAGGAGGGTCAGGTATTCAGGAGAGAGAAAGAGAAACTGCTCAGTAATCTCTTGGTAGCTCTGGAATGATGCTTGTCAGGTTTTTCCTGGGGTATCGTTTGTGCATACCTCCTCATAACTGGCAAAGGAAGTGGAGTACAAGTAGGATACACTCACCTACAAATTTAGGCCACTATTTGATTTAGTCAGCAATTACTTATAAACTGCACTAACCCAAACTAAGAAGCTTGACCTAGATGGAATGTAAGGTTACGATTCCATGAAATTAGGTAAGCTCCGACCTTAACAAGTTTAAAACGTAGTCAAAGACAGTGCACCCCCCAAAAAAGAGTGAAAAACAGTCAGGTTTGGCGCACTCAGCTGGAAGAACTAAGTTCACATCACTAACAGGAAGAAAGGCGAGTTTGGAAATTAAATAAGAAAAGGGTAGAAGGTCTCAATACATTTGCATGTGGGAGAAGTATTTAATTTTTTCATTATAAGATAATTATCAAGAACTCTAGTACATTTCTCCTTGTAGTCATATAATGATCATTTCATACTTATACCTATTTTGTGTGGCAGCTTGAAATCTTCTCA